TGGCTGTTATGTGTCCATCAATCTGAAGCTTCAACATCCCCCCCCACCACCAAAATTTGCCGTGGGCCTCTATCGTCTGCAGCAAATTCCTGTTGAGCTTCAGCAGGGTCAGATGATTAAAAGAAAGAATAAAACACGCACCATACGATTAAAAACATGACTGAAGTCAAAGCCATCACGATTCCTCTATTCCCTTGCCTCACGAACAGAATTAGATACCCAAGCGCACTCATGGCCAAAGGGTATACCGAGTTTTTTTTCAGGAACAAAAATAAAGCTCCTAGTCCACAGATAAATGAAACGAAATGAACTAAAAGTCTTGGAAGTTTGAGTGACGAGACAATCCGTAGAATAAAGCACAAGGCCAGGAGGGGACCAACCAAGTCGAATGTCTGAACAGTCGTCGGTCCCACACACGACTGGAACATGTAGAAAAATCGGCCATACTTGGACATTTTCTCCATCTGTTCGTACATTAAGGCTTCATCTGGATCGTCGTAGTACTCATCTAAGTCGCCCTCGACGTAATATGGGTCCTCTAATTGATCCATGACTAGAGCACACTGCGGCTCCTCCGTCCCTCGCTGCTGTCAAAATCAAAAAATTCCAAAGTTTCCGCCGAGAAAAATTGTTTACGAAGAAGGGATATTTGGGTACAGCTGTGGGCATAATAAAGAGCATGCGCGGTTCATCGTAATTCTCTCCCTCTCTTTCACTCAGAAGACCACTTAGATATCCAAGGGCTTAGGGAAATTTACCATATATAATAGGCTATTTTCCCTTTGTAAACTATTTAGAGTGAAACTAATAGCAAATGAATGCGTGGGAGAATTTAAATTGAGAATTTTTTTGGCCTTTTTCACTATGTGTGACGGATTTAATCACGGTGCTCTTCAGATAGCGGTGGCCCAGATTTGCCAGTCCATGGGCTGGGATGCCCTACAGAAGTCAAGCCACGACCTGTTGACCGACGTGTTACAGAAATATCTAGAGGAGATAGCCAAGTCAGCGCACGGATACTCCCAGATATGTGAGTTTGGACGAAGTCTTAGTTTATATTTCATAACAAAGAGCAGACTGATAATTTAATACAGGATGCTGATTTATGCGGTCTGTTCATGTAGAAATTAACGTTTATTAATTAACAGCTAGCATTGAAGTATTTTGTCTTTTTCATATTTGTTTATTTTGTGCTGTTTCTTATTTACGGAAGAAAAACTGTAGAGAAAAATTAGATGTTAACAAGTTGAGAACAATCTTTCACCAAGTTTCGATTCAATTTGGTAAAAAATGAAATTAGTTTTATTTAGGGTAAGAGTTCCATCTAACCCCATACATTAATTATGCATAGAGTGTTGCAAAGAAACCTTTATATTTAGTTTTTATGAAATGGAATGCATAATTAATGTATGGGGTTATATGGAACTCTTTCCTTATTTAATGTAACACTGGAAGAGATATTGAATCCTTTTTTGTTTGAAATTCCACAGACTCAAGAACTGAGCCAAACTTAGATGACCTAAACCTTGCCTTTCAAGATATCGGTGTTTACCTCGGGGAGCTAGAAGACTTTGTGACCCAGGTAGACCAAGTTCCATTTATTCACCAGTTGCCACAGTATCCCAAGCCAAAACCTTGTGTCCTCCATCATCCACATAATGGAGAGATTTCAGAGAGACTGGAGCAGTACTATGACTACTTGCCTCCCTTGGTCTCAAAGCTTCTTCAAATTGAAGGTTTTGTATGACTGTTGCTGCAGTCTCTTTCTTTCCCTCATAGCTCCAAAGGCTTGTTTTTACAGCACATTCTATGACTCTGAAAAAGCCCAATTTCTATCATTTGAAATTCAGCCTGAAACTATAAACTTCACTTTAAGTGCAAGGTACTGAATGGGAAACTTCACACTTTGTAAGAATTTTTCACTAGTGGAGTGAAGCGATGTCTATCCTTTCAAGCAGAATTTTGAAACACCAAGTCTGGGTGATATCTTCATTTGTGTTGTTACTCCATTATACTAGATAAATAATTTTGAGAGCCAGTGGCAATCCAAAACATTACAATCATCATTTAAAAATGTATTGCATGAACCAGAACTTAGGTGGTTAGGATCCAACTCACATACAGTTTACATGGCAGTCCACTGAAAGTATTTTTGCCAGTTGCACTTTACAGGTGCTCGGTGTTAAGTTTCAATCTTCGAGATGTTTCTGTGTCATATTATGTAGGACAATTAACATTTGTGTCTGGCCATTTGCTTGTGTCTGGCCATTTTAGACTTGTATTCAATGACATTTCAGATTATTGTTTTGTTATATTTTAAATGTATCTCCCTGTGTCGTTAAGTGATTGCAATTTCACCTTCCATTTTTTCCTTCAGATGAAGATAAAGCAACAACAGCAGAAGATGCAGACACAGTTGATGCAGGAGAAGAACCAACAAGTGCAGAAGGATACGTGAGGAAGGAAATCAAGACAGTAGCTGAAGAAACTTCTAGTGAACATGTTGCTGTTAAGAGACCTCTTGACATGCCCCCAGGGCTTGAAAATGAAACAAAAAAGAGACGTGTGGATCTACCTTTCATACAGAAGGGAAACAGGGGAAATGAGATGGACATTCTTGAAGCACTGCAAGGAAACTTATCCTCCCCTTCGCCAACTCCATCACCAGACATTTGGAACTCGGCAAAAACATTTGAGATCCCTCCAGCATCAAGTATTTCTTCCATAACTGCTACTCATTCCGTAGAAAAAGTCACAACTTCTAAGGCCACTGTAAAACCAAAACAAGGGGAGAAAAAGGCAGCTGTTGGGAGCAAAGAAGCAGGAAAGGAACCAGGGGTAAAAGCTAAATCAAGCCCAAAAAAGAAGCCCAAGCCTGCTAAAAACACAGCTAGTCCTGCAAAGAAACCTGCCACGTCAAAAACACCTCCAAAACCAAAAACAACAAAGGATAAATCACCATCACCGATGAAATCACCTATTCCAAAACCAAAGAGTTTGACTCCTGTGGAAACTGAATCTATAACAGAGAGCTCTTCAAAGAAAATTAAAGCTACTCCAAAGAAAGAGAAAAAACCAGCAAACAAGCCCAAAAAACCTGTTACCAAGACATCCTTGACACTGGCAGCTTCTGAGACAGCTAAAGAAAACATTGAAGTTAAAGAAAGCATGCCAAAATTAATTATAAAACCCATCAAGAAGGAAACTGATGCTGAGCATCAGTTTACTGTGTCTGAATTCCTACCTCCTGATAATGCAGCAGTAAAAGAGAAATCAGGAAATAAGAATTCAAAACCTAAGGCAGGTCCTACCAAAAAACCAAAAGTGAAAAAAGAAAAGGATAAAATCACTGAGCCCTCAGTCAAAAAGGAACCCAAAGAATGGAGCACTCCCTCTACCAGTGAGGGACTCAAATTTTCCATGGCAGATTTTGCAGCTGCAGCTGCAGAAAGAAATTTGCCAGGAAATGTTTTAATAGACCCAGCACTGGAACACAAGAAGAAAAAGAAAAAAAGGAAAGAAAAGGATAGGGATAAAGAAAAGAAAAAGGATAAAAGCAAAAAGGTTAGTGCACAACCTACTTTTCTCTCCAAAGAAGTTATTTTTTTATTTATATTCCTTCTTACCCTTTAACTTCCCCTTATGATTCCAGTATTTTATTGTGCAGTAGGTGATAAGAGCAGACAGACTTATCAGCCAGAGGACGTGATCATGATAATTATAATACACGTACCAAACTCTCCCTCTAATTTACAAGGAAATAACCAGTGGTCAGAGAGGAGAACTGCTTCTTAGATCTTAGGAATTAAAAGGCTAAGAAACAATAAAATATTGATAAATCCTCATCTTTACCCACACATATTTTTGTGTTTCAGCTGAAGACAGAACCTTCCCCAGAATTGCCATTTCCCTCACCCATCCCTCGTATCACTGTGAAATTAGACACTCCATCTAATTCAGCATCATTAACAGCTACAGGGGCAAGCAAGATAGAACCTTTACCATGGTATGTCGCCCTGTGCTTGCATAAAATTCAATATTCCTAAAGAGTGAGGTTAAGTAAAATAAATTTTCCATCAAAATTTCACTGTTGACCACCTACTCATAGTTGAGGGAGAGAGTGCTGTAATTATCAAGCCTTTCCTGGTAACTTGTGGTAGGTGAGGCATTCCATAACCTTATACACACACACACAGGGTTTGTATGGGTCCTGGAAAAGCTGGAAAGTCCTGGAATTTTATTTTGACATTTTCCAGGTCTGGAGAGCCCTGGGAAAGGACTTCAGGTCCTGGAAAGTACTGGAAATTTGCTTAACTCAAGTGAAAAGCTTTCAGAATTTAAGTTTTTACATAAGGAGAATTGACTTTGAAATCTTGGAAACAAAAGGGTTTATGGTGGAATTTGGAGCCCTGGATAAATCAATCTGAGTCCTGGAAAAGTCCTGAAAAATTCTCAGAAATTTGTTTCTGAGAAAGGGTATGAACTATTTATATATAAGAGCTACACAGTCTCTTTTCCTTCAGGTACACCATTGTTCAAGCTCCATTTGCAATCATCACTCGAAAGGTGTAGCAAATTGTTTGATTTTTTGGTCTTTAGGGGAACTACATAATCAGGTCAAAATTGAAAATTTTGATTTTGTATACTGACTTTGCAGATTAGAGTGGTCTTGAAGGGTAATATTGTTGGTGACTGACATTTTGACAATGTTAGTGGAATTCATTATCACAAACAAGTAAAATGTTGGTCACTACAAACAATAACAGTCCCTTTCATGACTACTCTCGCCTAGAGAACCAAGCCACAGGATACTGTACTACTCTTATGTAATGCCCCTACATTTTGTGATTGAAGCAGGCAGTTCCTGGGAGACATAGGTGATCAACTTTACATAAATATTGTTTTTCTAATAGGGATTTTGGAAAAGGAAGTTCAGAAAAACTCTTCTCTTCCACTGTAAGCAGTCAAGCCATTGACAGAGCAGGTCCTTCAAAGGTCTCAAGCAAACAGGAAGCTGTTACAACTACAGCCTCAGCTACCACCACCGCTTCCCCTGCACCCAAGTTAACAATTAAAAGTGAACAACTGGAAAGAACAGTTGTGTCACAGACACTGTCAACCACATGTGTTCATGTAAGTAAACCAAGGGTGTTCCACTAGTTTATAAAATTCACAACTATAATATGAAGCTTTGCATAAATAGCAGAGAAGTCATCTTTAACTGTATTTCCATCATTTGTGATGATGTGAAAAAGTATATTCAAATCTCATCTGCTAAACAAAAAGCACACAGAGTGATACCGTGTGCTTACAGATAATAGTGATCAGCAGAAAAACTTCATAGTAATTGAAGGGGGTAAGTTTTACGTTGTCTTGCTGCGTCGGAGCGCGGTATTACAGGATAATTTGGTTTTATTAGCTGACTTGATAATGTAAATTGGCCACTGTAATCAGGCTCTTAAGCTGACGTTTGGAGCGGTGCCGTTAAGAGGCTGTCCCGTTGACTGACCATCAAACAATAAGATCAAGCCGCACTGCAGTTGTTCAGTGTATTTTACAGGATATGCAATCAAATAGGTGTTGTGTGACTCTTCTGGTCGCTGTGAACATACTGGGAATTGTTAGGGATGCGACCAAATAATATGTTTTTAATTCCCTTTGTAATGTGGGCATCATAGTGAATCAATAACGTATTTTGAGTGCCCCTGTGCCACTTCTCGGTGTTTAGAAGATAAACAGAAACGAATTTAAAGAAAATAAACGCTCTAGGTCCCGTTAGTTACCCGAGTAAAAATTTAAAAAAAAAAATTTATTCTTGGTGTTCGTGTACTAGGGATACTCTAGAGAGTACTTTTGTCCCGTGTGTGATGAACCTGACGATGGCACTTTCATGATTGGCTGTGATGGATGTGACGAATGGTTTCATGGGTGAGTAGCAAACGAAGGGAAAAGCTTCAAGGGGTTTGCCAGATGAGGGAGGTCGAATGGTATTCCTCCATACCGACTTACTTTTCATCATATTTCACCAGATTTTCGAATATTCACAACCATTCCACAAGGCAAAGTATGAGGCTATCCCTACCAAAAGTAAAACAAAATTTTGGGAAAAGGACCTTTCTTTTTACTGGCGCAGAAATTTTTAATAAACTCCCTTTAAACATTGTGAAGAGTGAAAACATTCAAACGTTCTGCCGCCGAGCAAGACATTTATTTTATCTTAACTTGATATTCTATCTACTATTTTAGGTCTTAATTGTGTTTTGGCTTTGTAGTCTTAGCCTGTTAATGTAGTTTTAAAATCCTAGTGATACATATAAATAATTGAGGATTTTGATGTAATTTATTTTTAAGTAACAGGGCCCCTATGGATGCCAGCCTTGAGCTGAATGGACTACCCTGTGTAAATAAAGTTTTACTTGGTTACTTACTCATTTCTCTAAAATCCGAAAAGGGGGCCTTCCTGGGCAAAATAGGAGATTCAGAAAAACTTGATATGAGTTGCCTTGAAAAAGCTCATCCCAATGTTTATCAAGGTCATTTCAGTCTGAGATATTATCATTTACAAAGTAGTTTGGAAATCTTTCTGTGAGCCGTAAGGCCGATCGGAACGAAATTGATACTCGACTCTTGTAGCCCATCAAAACCGCTATTGTAGTCCATCAGCCAATAACGTTACGGAAAAGTTGACCTATAATTGTTCACGAACCAGACTTCACTCGTCACTGATGATGACTTCCGCTCAAGTTGTCGAAAAGTTAGTCACCGTCTGCAGTCTAACCAACGTAGCTGGCGGTTTGGCGTTCGCTTCAAAGCGAGTAGCAGCGAAACTGCGAGAATGAAAAAAATATTTCCGTCCTATTTCCCTCTCATTTCGCTGTTCATTTTCATTCTTTCCCCCTTCACGTTTCAAAACGCTCACATAACTTCCAACTACGTGTATGTAGGCTATGAGCAGGCCATTTCAGGACTACTCCAACCGGCTCGAACGCATTACACTTACTAGGGAGGGGACATTGAAATACTGACGTTACTGTATTTCTTTTTGCAGCCGATGCGTTGGAATAATAGAAGATCCCGGAGACGTAGATTGGTATTGTTCCTCTTGTCTGGCCAAAAGGGATAAAGATAATAAAGACAAACAGAAGAAGAAGAAAAAGAAGAAAAGTAAAGAAAAGGCAAAGTAGCTCGTCAGAAGTTGAGATTCCTAGATCTTTAAATTTTGTCCAAATGCAAATGTAACTGTTTAACGTCAATGCCGCGTCTGGAACTTAATTTCTCTTAAGATCACAAATACATATTCTTCCAATTCAGTGTTTTGAGTGCCTTTGTGTTGTAAATAAATGGAGTTTTATCGATGTCGTTCGTGTTTTGCAATTTAGCATTGTGGAGGACCTCTGCTAGTACAGAAAAAGTAACCGGAGAGAAAATATTGGTAATGTCTTGAAACGCGATGCTTTTTTGAGGAAGGGGGGGGGGGGAGAAGGGTGGTGAAGGGATGACAATTAAAAATTTTCCCATCAGTATCTGCGTGAACAACAGGATGGCAACTAAGCTAGTTTTGGGGTTAGTTTCTGCTTGTAACCGTTTCTCTTGTAAAAAGGAGAATTCTTTACAACAGTTAAAATATACGGAGAGGAACAAACGAACATAAGGTAATCATCGTAAATTATATTTTGAAAATGTAACTCCTTTCTTACAAGGAATATTTCATCCGTTAAATTTCTAAACAATCATCAAAAAAAAAATAAAAATAAGCGTTCCAAGGTTTGTAAGACACGACGAAAAGTTTTATTCAGTTGTTTTCTGTAACTGACAGGAATAAATAAAAATGGACCTACATACGTTAAGAAAACTTAAAACTTTCTGAAAATTTACAACAATCTGATCAACGCACATGCAGGTTTCCAAAAATCGTGCGATTGACTAAAATGGTTGCCGAAAAAAAAAACTTTACGCGGCTTTACGATTTAAAATAACGTATCAAGTACGGTATTAATATAATACATGTTTTAGAGTAGTTAAACCTCTCTTGCGTGTTATAAATATGAGAAGAAAGTATTCAGTTTAGCTACACCCTCTCTTCGTATTGCCACTCCTTTAGCTGGAGAAATTGGGAAGGGGCGTCGTTAGCATTATCGATGGAAAGTCACAACAAAGTTAGCAAATAAGCGGGTTAACCGTTTCACTCTCGTGAGTGATCAAAACAGAATTTCTCCTTACAACTTCCATACAATATCAAGCAGACAAATGATGAGAAAAGAGAAAAATTAAAATAAGGGGATCATCAGTTGATTCAATACCAAATTCTCCAACCTAACAGAATAACGATTGTATGGCAGGCAGTGCGGAGAATTACTAGTGAGATCTCAACCTCGTTCCCAGGGTCTCTCATCTTCCCGCCCCCTGGAGCTGGAGCGAGCTCCAGGGGGCGGGAAGATGAGAGACCCTGGGAACGAGGTTGGTGAGATCTTATGAGTGAAAGGGTTAAACAGCTGACCAAACTTGGAAAGTTCCAACTGCACTTTGATGTAGTTCATAATCGGTGGGTGTTTCAAGTGAACATTAAAAAAACCAATGCATGTTCCTGCATACTACTGATATTAAATTCAAACCTGCTGCGAAGCAGGCTTAAAAACAATCTATGAAATGAATGATTCTTATGAACCCGGCATAAGATCAAGACGGTAAGTCAACCTCTCCACAGTGAACGTCGACCATTTTAAAATCTCGTTCTTACATCTCGCAGGCCCAAGATCGTCCTCGGTATCTTATTTATACTCTCTCCTCAGTGACAAACATTTATCGGACGAACCCCACTATTCTCTGCAGAGAAGCAAAGAGCCAAAACAGTTGCAAAGTGACGATATAAGGAGAGGGCTTTATAAACGTACTTGAACCACACGTGTAGCCTGACTCCTGTGAAAAGAGACAGAACTGTTAGAATCCCCACGAACATTCAAGCTGGGATTCAGACAGACAGACAGACAGACATCTTTTATTTATACAGGATAGCCCCTTCAGTGTAGTAAACACTGGTATCAACGGGGGTCCTGTTACCCACCCATCCCACCCCAGGGGAGGACATCCATCACACAGTAATCTCGTGCGTGGGAAATTTACGTCTCCTACCCCTAACCCTGCAGGAGACGGGACCTCCAAATGGAGGTAAATGGTTGATTCTCACGAACAATTACGCTAACTAATAACATGGGCTGCAGAGAAAAAACTTTGTATTTTCAAACAAAGTTAGGGCTTACAACTAAGGGCCTCGAAGAGTATTTGGTCTTAAATTGTTGGGAATCTTGAAGATTGTTGATCAGTGTGCAAAGATCTACTCCTAAGTTTAGAGGTTTTGAAGTCTTCCACAGTGGAACTGTGACACATGTTAAGAGGCTAAACAAAGTTGAGTAAGTCTTCGTGTATGCAATTCCCAAAAATAATTGATAATGACAAGAAGAATAGCAGGCACATCGATTGAGTGTAGTACAATCAAAAGAACTCACAACGGCCAATCTGAAGGAGGTAAAAGCACTTAAGAGCCAATGAGAACTCATAGTTAAAACAACCCACTGCCTAAAGCGCGGGAAAACGCGGGTAACCAAAGTCATGATTGGTTTTAGTTTCGCATCTGACTGGTTGAAAAAAAAAAAGGCGCAAGGTTTTTAGACCAGTCACAAGGCTAAGTAAAGCAAAATCAAAGCAATCCCAGATTAATTTCGACTCCCATTTGAATTTGCTCTAGTAATACTACTACTAATAATAATAATGACAACAACAATAACAATCACAAATGGTTTCTTGAACAAGTGTCTACGTACAGGATCTATGGATTTAAAACATCTCTTAGGTCTTTTCCTGTAGCCCGGTTCCTTGCAGGAGTTTTCCACAGTATCACGTTGAAGTAATGTGTTGTCAAGGAAACAAAAAACCATGACAAAAAAACCCCAACCTTACTCCCAAATAGAGACACATCCTTAGCGTTTTCTCTGGCATAGTTGTCCAAAAGGGGTTTTTGAGTCTTTTTTGTGACGTCATAACTCCTGTTGGGGTCCTGAGGCCCGTTTTTTTTTTTTAGTCCTAGCAACTTTACGGTGCCCGTTTGTTCTTTTTTTTTCTACTTTTTTTTTTTTTCCATATCTCAGGACTAGCTTTCTTTAATTCTAGCTTATCTATCAAAGGATATTTTGTCGAGGTTCTCCAGGAACACCCATGTTCCAATCACTTTCATCGCATTTTCCGCATTTTCCGCATGTTGCATTTATCACCACAAGGAGCAAGTTACTATCAGGCACGCTGGCTACAAAATGATCCCTGCAACAAGAGAAAGCAACAATAAGCTACAGACAAACATTACGTTTCTTGAGCTACCGCGCTCAGTGGCAACGTCTTGAGATTTCTGGTGAGAAATCTTGAAAGAGTACTTGCCAGTTTAACAAGAGTAGTCCAAGAACTCTTCGAGATATTTCTTACTACAGCACAAACGCTAGTCTCTATGATGAAGCGTAAAGCCCAGAGGATTTCAGAGTGAACCGAAAGGCCCTTCAAAGCACGAAATGACCAGGAGTGGTCAAACTATTGCCCTTCCGGGTCTTGCTAAAGCAAAGTTGGTTCTCTCTTCGACTAAAACGCATTCTTCAACTACACTTGGATAACAACTACTTGCCAACTCAGGATCTAAAAATATGACTTCTGTTAATTGGTGCAAATTCGATTTTCACAGCAGCAAAAGACTGGGGAGAGTAATAAATTTGCACCAAGAGGGTGAGTAACGGTCAAAATAAGAGGAGACAGGGGGGGAGTGGGGCCTTTCCCCGCCCCCGCCCCCAACCGTCCACTCTAACTGGCAAGTGGAAAAAACCATCGCGAGCTTGTAACCTTATTTCACCCTTCTAAGGACGCCTGCACGGGAAATAAGATATATCATAGAACACTAGGCCCCAGTTCAAAGGGTGGATGACGCTGTCGACTGGATATATCTCTATCCGTTGGATAGTGCAATACGTTTTGTTAACGCTTATCCGCTGGATAGCGAACAACCAGGCCCGGAAAGACGTAAATCCTACCTTGAGCAGCCTCCACAGCTTGTCGCACCTGCAGAATAAAGTTAGACCAAAGCATGTAACTGTAGATAAATGGCTTTTAGAAACAACAAAAACAAATAAATTACGCTTTTGGTGCCGGCTTCTCCTCGTCTTCGCGGCTGGGAGTGGGGTTTCGGCTCAAATGTTCGTTCCAGAAAACAGAGCACACGTCGCAACAACCAAATTAGGGGAAGATCTGATGCCGGTCAACATCAAATCGAAACTAAATATTACTTACCTTCATGTGTTACGTTTTGAATGGCATGATAGGTGGTTATATTTCGGATGCAGCTTATATTCTTTGGAATGTCGTCAGTTGCCTCTGAAAATTACCAAAGGAGAGCGTTTAAAAATGGAGTTAGCGTATAACGTGGGAAACCATGCAATCACTACCACTGAGGAGCAGGAAAACGTACATTCAGCTCCAAGGGAAGAAAAGCATGTAATCGATACCAAGGGTGGGAAAACATACAATCTACACTAAGTGCAGGAAAAAATATACATTCGACACCAACAGGGGGAAACATGCAATCGGTATCAAGAGAAGGAAAACATGCCAGCAATGCCAATCCTTGGATTCTCTTGTTAAGGAACGAGACAATTCACACTAATGAAACGAATAACGTACTCACCAGTTGTTGCACCACTCTCAGCAAAAATCCAACTATAAAAATGAAAGTCAAAACAAAAAAAAAACCTCAGCATTTATTCGCTCTTTAAGAGCCGTTCTCTACCTTTCTTAGGCTCGCTTTGCTCTGAATAGATTGTAGTGGATTCAGCTATCTTATCATTATAATTTTTTTAATTTTAAAAGCCCAATACCACGTACTTAGTGAACAAACCAAAACGTCTGCGAAATTGTATAAATTAGTACTCGTTTGCAGCGTGAAATTCTGTTTTATGTGCATTAATAGCCCTTATTCCGGATCTGAGTGCGCGGTTTATTTGGAAAGCGGTTTCCTATATTTTCGAACGAGAAAGCGAGGCTATCGGGTCAAGCTTCTCTAAAGTTTGACGCAAAAGCGAGGCTATCGGGTCAAGCTTCTCTGAAGCTTGACCCGATAGCCTCACTTTTGACTACCCTAGTATAGGAAACCGCTGTCCAACTAAACCTCGCAAACGAAACTGGAATCAGGGCTTTTACATATTCAAAGTGTTTTATAACCAGGTTTCAAAAAAAGCCAGCTACCCGGGGTCCCCCATCAGTACGACTTCTTACTGCCGTCTGTTGAGCATGCAAGCAGACTCCAGTGTCTGGGTTTTGCCTTACGGCCCCCTTCTCCCGGCACGACCCCCTATTACACCATCTAAGACCGCCTGGGGAAAAAGGTGTCGAGGCCCCTGAGAATGCCGTTTAGAGCAAAATTATACACAGAACAAAAGAGATATGACAGTATACAATATATCACGCAGTTCTGCTTAGATAGAGGAAACAAGTGGAGCTAACCTGTACAAATTGAAGTAAAGCAACGACCTAGAAAGGAATATGAGGAAAAAAGACATGCTTAGGATAGCTGCACCTATAGAAATTAGAAACAACAGTAGCAACTATGGATGATGAATCCATTATTGAGCCATTTTTGACTGACTGCCGTAAAACGTAAACCACAGTTATCACTACGGTCGGTCAGGGGAAAGGTTGACATCACAACAAGCCAATGAGAACTTAAAGCAATAACATACGTACTCAGCCGGAGGCGCGGAAAATGCGACTGATTGATCGGCGATTGACTTTC